AATACTCTCATCAATGAGACTAGTGCTTGCGGACCCAAAGCACGAGTGCTTGGGCGAGCCGCAGTGAGCAGCGAGTCACGCCTGCGTTTTGGAGGCTTTGGGTAGGGTCTGTATTTGACAAGCAATGGGCTAAGCTCTGTGATTTCTCCGAATCTGTGGGGAAATACCACCGAGAACATGATTAGCTCCATTCTTTCACCTACGCTGTGGGAAGCTCTGTGAAAAAAATGGAAGTGACCCTGATTATGTGAAAATGCAAATGCCCCTCTTTGTTTTAAAGCAGTTAGTCTATGTGTCGCTCAGTCTCCTTCCACCTCCCTGAGGCTATGCCTACGGGTGTGACTAGGATGGGGAAACATGTCAGGGCCACGTCAATCTTCTTAGCAACGAAGATGCAATAAAATAGGCTGAACAACTCCAGAGAACCACAGGAGGTACCTACAGACTGTGTTACCCAGTAAGACCAGTCCTCGCCAGCTGGCTGAGGCCAGCACAAGTACGCTAACACGCAGTCACCTCGTTTTGCTATGCAGACTTACCGGAGGAGAGCCTGAAGTGCCGAAGTTTGAGAAGGAGAGCTGTTGGGTGTTTGGGTCAGGGTTTTTATGACACAGTTGGCCATGAGCTCAAGTGATCAGAAAGGAAGAAGTTAGCAGGAAAATTCCGTGCCTCAGAGGGTGTTTTACTGCAGGCCAAAGCAGTTCCTGCTGGCTGATGATTTAACCCCTGCTGGGTTTGCATAGCTGGCTATTTAAGGGCAGATTTAATGACAGCACCCTCCTAAGCACAGGGCTAGGGGCGGTTGTGATGGAATATGTATTCCCTCCTTCCGCAAGTCCCAGACCACCAGCTGGAGACTCGTCTGGGCTGAGGGCATCTGCCTCGGTGAAGCTGTGGCACGGTGCAGAGGAGAATACACAGGACAGACAGAAGGGCACGAAGGCGCTGGCTCATAGCATGCGCCTGAAGAGCTCTCCTGGGGTGGGAAACCCTCTCACCTAGCACTAAGGTCACGTCTTTAAGTTTGAACAGACATTTCATTTTGCAAAATGTTAAAATTAGTGGGAAATGGTGCTTTAAAGAACGGGGTCTCCTTCCCGAGCGCTGGAATCCCTCTGGCACCCCTGGCTGACAGCTTCTAGGAACACGAGCAAAAACCCCTTACGTGCCCATGCCGTCCTGCATGGGGACAGACGTGGCCAAAGCTGGGGATCAGACAAGTAACTGCATGTTTCTGAAAGCTGCAAACACTAATCACTGGAGGGGGGATTAAAAGCGGCCAGCAGGACAGAAGCCGGTGATGGACAGAGGCCCTAAAGGAGCCTTCTGTCTTCAGACACTTACAAATGGAGAAAGCACCCTGGATAATCCTGTGTCTACGTTAAGGATGGACCGGAGATCCACAAAGGATCCATTTTCAAGGGAACTGCAGGCTTTTTGCCACTGCTTTAGTAACTAACGGGCACAATTTTGGAAGTGCAACTCAACGCTGTCTTAATGTCGCAGTGTCAGCGCAGGCAGCAAAGGTCCTCAGCGGTACCTGGACTTACCTGCAGAGAAGTTGCACACTTGACTGGCTGTAGCTTAAAAAGGGCTGTGGGGTTTTTTGTTGTTTTTGTAAGTCAAGACAAATAAATTTCTCTGTACTTTGCTATTTCTAGGAGACACCACACTGAATTCTATTCCCAGTTACCACACTGACATTGAAAGAAGCTAAAAGGCAGTAACCGAGAGGCAAAACCTTGAACAATCAATGCAAAAAGAAAAAAACCAACAACAAACAGTCCTTTTCTCTATCTGTTGGTAAGATGCAGAGCCAACACTACCCATTTACTTTATGTCTAATGGACTTAAAGAAGGCCAAAAATTGGTGTAATGCTGTCTTAAGGCACCTGGTCTAATATCATTACGTTTTGGCCAATCCAATAAGTAGTGCAAATCCTAATACATTGCTGAAATCTGACCTTGCGCGTCATTAAATCGCTTTGGAAGGAAGCCTGGCACTGCATGTGTGCACGCACCTCTGAGCCGGTGTGAGCCTTAGGAGGGGGTTGCTTTCAGAGGGGCTGACTTGTGCCCCACAGAGGGCCCTGATTTGGGGATCAAAAACTTCTCAAAACACACTCACTTCTCGAGAGAGTTGTGTTCTCTCTTAATCACCTGGATAAAGCTTCTGTTCGTTTAAGAAGCTGAGTTTTAAGGTTTCTTCTCCTGCTACCAGCTGATCTCTCAGCGTCTCTCCCTCGCCTGCTGCAGCCAGCAGTACTTTAAGCGCTTCCTTTTCAAACGCACGCCAGCCAGCTCCAGAGAAATACTTCTGGGAGGTGTGGTACAACTGTGCATGAAATAAGTAGCAGTTTATACTATTTGAAAAATGTTTTTCTGCTTCACCTCTAACAAAGTTGATTGCATTTTCCATTTCACCTCCTTCACGGCTTTTCTCCCTTCCTTAAGTATTCTGTGACAGGGAAATTACCATGGTTTCCCATTTAAGAGGTGGAGAGAACAACGGAGATAATCTAGAAACAAGTCTGTAACAGGCATCCACTGACATGGGAGCAGAGCTCCCGGCACGTCGGTTGGGCTTGGAGGCACCAAACCCTGCTGTAGCCACTGAGACCCGTCCTGCAAAGTCCGTACATTTAAATGAGTAAATAGTTCAGTCGAATGCAGTGGAAGTAATCCTGCTCCTAAAGGGCTTCACTGCTTTCCAGGTAGAACTGATGCTCCAAAACCAACTTAACGCCCCTTCCAGTGCTACTGTTGTGCTGCGGAGGGCTGCGCGGCGAGGGCAAAGGCAGCGCACGGTGCCTGCAGGCAGCAACCTCCTGGCGCGGGCACTCCCGTCTGCCCGCTCCCCGCCCCGAGAGCCGTACCTCAGCCCCAGCAACACAGCCCCAAGTGCCTGCCAAGGTCTTTGGCAAAAACTTTGCTGGCAATGGATGTAAAATGCATACGGCAAGATTCAAAAAACTGGTCACTAAAAGCCAACTCTCAGGAATTTCCTCCTGCCTCCCTCTTCTGAGCAATGCCACCAGCTCCCTGCTCCGGCAGCCCTGTGCCCCTCTTTGGGTCATGGGCACAAGACACACCGCAGAGTAAGAAAACTAAGAGCTTTCAGCAAAACGTTCAATGCCGCTACTTAATTTAATTAATCTGAGACTGGGCTATGATTACCACAATGTAGGACAAAAGAAACAGAGCTACTAATTTAATGACCCTATTTGTTGTTTTTCAGATTTCATGTCTTAAGTAAAACAACCAGGCTTCACTTAACTTGATGCTTGGGGTCTGACTGAATTTCTGTCTGACTCGAGGACTTCATCTCATTAAAAGAACTGCCATGTTATGTTATAGCATAAGCTCGTTCTTCATAAAAGAAGTGCTGACTGGTGTTTTAGGAGCTAATTAATTTTATAGTCAGAGAAGTCTAAGCTAATAGCCCCTCCTTTTTCACCTCAGAGAGAAAGAGAGAGAAAGAGAAAGAGAGAAAACAAGAGAGCAATTGCCGTGTAAGAAATAAGTAATGTTAGGCATGTTACATTTGTCAGGATGCAAGTCCAGTGATTTAAGTGGGAATACTGGTAGGCATGCTCAGGCACCTTTGAACTGTGTCACTTAATGACTGAACAGTACAATTATTAATTAATCGATACCTTAATTAATAGCACAATTAATTGAACAGCAAATAGTAATTGAAAGTGGTTTTGTCGTGGCCATCACACAAGCCAGTTTCTCTAATTTTCCAGTTGCCATCATCTCCGTGGTTGCCTCCGTGCTGAGGGACAAGCATGCAAGTGGTGAGGGGCGAACCTGCAAAAGCGAGCTCGTGACGGCGTCCGCTACTGCCTGAACTACATGTACGTCGCGTAGGATACGCGTTCCCTGGGCCCGTTTTTGGGCGCGTGCATACTTCGAGCTTAGAAAATCTGGCCAGGAGAGTTTTTAAAGAACATCTCAGAAGACAACAGAGGAAGTTAGTAGAGAGGAGAAGACTAATGACAATGGAGAGACACAGCAAACCGAGGTGTTTACAGTTGGCCTAGCGAACCACTACTGGACCCGCAAAGCCAGTAGACAACAAACAGCTGAGACAGAAAGCAAAGAGCTCCTTCAACTTTTGCAAAAAACAACCCAAGGCCTGTACAGAGCAGGGATGAATCTGCCTGGAACTGACTACAGCCAAGAGCTGATGAGTTCTCTCGAAACCCGTTTATAGGTCGAGTTGTGCCACGGGACTTTGGTAACGAATCGATATGTCTACGACTTTGTGAAGCTTTGGAAAACTTGAAAAATGACCTCTCTGACTTTCCCTCCGTGTTTACTATTTCAAAACCTGTAGCTGCAAGAGTTATTGCGAGAGATAATGAACGCTGGCTCTTTCGCCAGTAGAGACTCTGTTTAATATCTAGCATGGCATTTATTAGCTGGCTGTAGCCTGCCTGGGTGGGGAAATGAATCTAACATCGGAGAGATAGAATGTCTTTACTAAGATACTTTATTTCCTAGAGCTGATGCTACTGTGCTGTCCTTGAAAAGTTATAGGTAGCCCCAGGAAACATGAGTGTCCCCCTTCCAGGACAGGAAAGGGGTAGACCCCTCACCACCTCCAGTATTTCAGCCATCTTTCTTTTTTTTGCTCATGGGAGACTTTGGGAATTAGCAGAACCCCTACACATCTCCGCACTCACTCCCGTTTCAGCCTGAGATAAACAACTGAGATAGATTTCTGCCCCCAGGGACAGCTTCTGGACATCAGACTGAAGACATGAGATCAAATTCATCTCTGGTGAAATTCCACTGGCTTCGACCACATTAGACCAGAGATTAATTTGGCCCACAGATACATTAAGAAAGGATACAAAGCACAAACGGTGTTTTATAAAAAAAGAGAAAGGGGAGGGGGAAATTCAAGGAGGATGCTGGATCCTAACCCAGCAGGATTCAGCCCAGCCCGCTCCACCCTCACATCACCAGGCACAGTGCGTGTTGCCGGTTACCTTTTTGCTTACTGACTTTCTTTACTGTCATTGCCGCTTGCCGCTTTTGATTTTCAGAAATTTCAAAGCCTGAAAAAGGGAACACGGCAAACACAATTCAGAAGGTTGCTTACAAAGCCTCTTTTTCTTTTGGGGAGGGGGGGATGTTCTGCACTGTTTGGCAAACACAGGACGCCCTAGGTGGCAAAGTATCACCCAGTGAGCTGCGTATACGGGTGGGTATTTTACTGAAAAGCCAATCTTCCTTGAAAGGACAGGCCTCTTTATAATCTCACTTGTGCAGGGGCTGTATGAAAAGCACGATTAGACCCATTATTATTTATACAGTATCATAAATATGCCCAGTGCTTTACAGCTGAGCAACAAACTGAGCCTGAACTGACATTGGTTACAGTCAATTTATGGGCTGATGTCGAGGGAAGGGCACGGCTGATAAGTCGTTGACTTCGCTGCCCTCCTACCCTGCACCAGACATGCTTAACTGGAGCAGAATGATGCAGCCAGGAGACTCTGAAGTCAGAGAGCCAAAGACTTCCTTCTCCCACAACACCCATGGAGGTCCAGGCTTGAAGCTATGGGCAGAATTTGTCTGTTGAGGCCCAAAAATAACAGTAACTGAATTGGAAAAAGACCTGTTTATGACTATGAGCAACCAAGGACATTTGAACAAGGCTGAACCATAATACTACTACAAAAAAGAAGTGGGCTTCTCCAACAGTTGGGGCTAAATTAAAATTACCAACAATCTCCTTTCAGATTCATTTCATATTCCTCACCTATCTTTTCATCTTCTTTTACCATCTTCCTTTCTTCTCTGAAAGCTCTAAGCCATCGTAACTTCTCCTCCAGTTTCTTGGCAAAGAATAAGTGCATTTCCTCAGTCTCCTTGTTATGAAGTTTGAAGGCATTCTTCATGCTGACATTAAAGTCATCATCTCTCCCATCTTCTATATCCACCACTTCGTATTTATCCATGTCTATGCGACCTTTGTAATACAGAATATCTCTTCGTATCAGATCCTACAGAGAGAAAAGGAGAGATGGGTTGATCATAAGATACTTAGAGAGCCTGAACTCTGCAGGGAATTCATGGGAGGGCTGAAGAGAAGAAAGAAGTAGTGGCGAACCTGCCGGATTCTTCAAGCCCCATCTGCTGGGAGTACGTTTGTTGCTGGCTAAATAAACAGGGTAGATCATAGACATGAAAGAACAAAATACAAATCCTCATCCTGCAAAGTTTTGCTTGTAGGCACGAAGAAGTGCCTCTGAGTAGGGAACATACTTCCATCATTTTCCATGATGGTAAGTTCTGTTCCACAGGATGAGAAACCAGAAAATAGATGCCGCTGGCCTGATGGGCTTCCTGTGCTGCAAACGAGGCTGTGTAGAAGCACAAATCCTGAGAAACCAGCTCGGGCATGTTTGGCAGTGCAGACCGGGTACTGCAGGTCTGTCTTTTCCAAAGACCTTCTCAGAGTCGGGGAGACGGGTCTCTGCCCCTTCGCCTTGGAACCCACTCCCATTCATACGCAACTCACTGGCGAGGAAATCGCCCTGCTTCTCTGTTCAAAGAACTCCAGACCTACCTCTGTCCCATTACACCCTGGTTTGAACCTCCTGATCCAGCTTAAAATTTTTCTTTTTCCTTCCTTGATGTTTATAACCTTTACAACCCAACCTGTTCATCCTCATCTCCTTTCTAAGTTGATTATTCCTGCCCCTTGTTTTTCAGCAACAGCTCATTTCTCTCTGTTAGGAAGGGAAAAGAAAAACAGTCTTTGCTATTAATTTTTCAGAACTCGTATGAGAACACCCACAGCTCCGTGGCCCAGCGCAACCTGCGCTCTCTGCCAGCAGCAGCCCGCGCAGCGGTTCTGCGTATCGGCTACCGAGAGCGCGGAGGGTGCGCGGTCGCAGCAGCTGGGAGGCCGGTAGCGGTAGCTGGAGATGGCACTAAAAAAAGTGTTCTAAGATCTATTGTGTCAACTGCTCAATCACAGATGTGACATTGTGGATGCCGATAAACTGCAGTAAAAACCAGATAATTTCCTGTTTTCCTCCTTACCCTCTTTATACTTATTTCGACTTTGCCCATCAAATTTTGTACTGCCTTTATTAGAACTATTCCCAATTTATACTCGTGTAAGAGGAGCACTGGCCCCACAGCTCTGTATCTTTATAGGAACAGATAACAAAAAATGATCATCAGAAAATAGAATGTTAATTATAGAGTCATGACCACATAAGGTAATTCAAATTACAAGGCATACATATTTAAAAAGCCAAATTTAGCAACACGTAATCAAGATTTCCTTCCTCTATCCACTCTCAAAAGCCAATATTTAGGTGTATTAAATTAATTTAACTTAAATACTTTTTGATTTTTGAGAGTGCCCTAAAGATAAATGCTGTGTCAAAGGATTCATTTAAGAGGAAAAATAAAATCAATATACGGCATTTATTTACTCAAGTAAAATTTAGCAGTGAGGTTTTTTAAAGATAAGCGGTAGGTATTATTTTAAACAAATCATTAACCTTGGAAAATGAACTGTACATCATAATTTTGTAGCAAACTTGCTCATAGATCTGCCAGGCAGTATTAGCGGTCAAGACACTGGGCACTGTCCAGAAGTTCGTAGCCTTTAAAACCTGCCTCCTCCCTCTGGAATGCTCTGGGGCGGGGGGGAAATTCCATTAACAAACGTATCGTACAAGTATCTTACTCTAGTATACAGGCTTTGAGTAGCGATGCTGTCCAAAACATACGAAAAGGATATTTCAGGCTAAATATGCAATAGAAAATCTTTTCTGTTTTGTCTTAACTGGGAAAATTGCTTCTTTCCTCTCGCTCTGTGCCCAGTGAAGGGCTGAGAAAACGCTGTACGCGTTACACTAAACCTGTTCAGTTAAATAAATACTGTGCACTTTGTTTAAGTTTTGAGTCTTGGGCCAGTTCTTAGAAATAGCATTTATCTTCACCGCATTCTCAAAAAACTCGGTAACAAATCTCACTGGAAAAAAGACGTGCTCCTTAAATTAGCTAAATACCTAAATACCAGCAACTGTTCTTCCCAGACAGAGGGAACCGCCTCACGGCCGATGAAAACTTCCGAAACAGAACACTGAACGGGCTGTCCTTGGGAGCGAGATGGGTGAAGTGGGACCAAACGTACTCTATGCAATATTCAGGATTATGTAGAGATTTGTCCGTGAAAGGTGTTACAAGAATAAACAATCGCAATCCTCCTTCTCGCCCGGCTCTGGAATTACAACACTCTGCGCATTAGCTTTTTTCTTACACATACAAAATACATTTTTTCCTCTCTTATCTCTCCAATTTTGATTTAGAAAACATTGCAAGCTATTTTTAATCGCTAACGCCAAGCGAATGTTTTAACAGCTTTGTGCTGTCGTTACACTTCCAGAGGACAACGCATCGGGTTTGGACGTGTCTGACCGAACTGCTCCGTGCACTTCCCCTCCAAGGCCGCAGGAGGAACAGTCGCTGCCTCCCGCGAAGCTTCTGCAGGGTGTTATAGAGGCTCACGTGTTTTGCAGGTGTTGCTGAGTATTGGATGGGAAGACAACGGTGTTGCCTAGGAGTTACTGAAGGAGCCACGAGGAGATAATGGAACCATACAAGTGCTTTTGGAAAGCACACAGAATATTATTGCTGGTGAGAACGCAACAGCGGGAAAGAGCAAGCTCAGCTATCATCGAGACTGTCTGCAGAAAGCACACGAAGAAGAAACGCCGTGTTTTTGTCCTTGAGCGTTGAGGAAGCACATGGCGAATGAGGGAAAGACGGCAAGCACAAAGCTCCTGCCTGCCACTTCTTTTACTTTCATTTGGAGAAGAAACTTCAGTAACGAATCCAGAAGAAATGAATCACCTTTTCTCCCACCGCCCTCCCCGGAGCTCTCAGCCTCCAGCTTGGCAGGAACGTTCTGGTGGAAAAACAGCCCCTGGAGTGGGGGGCAGCCCAGAGGAGAGAAAGAGGGAACCGTTCAAAGAGGTACAGAAAGCCGAAGAGCTCAGAACAAGTCCAGGCCTGACATTACCCGAGTGCAGGTCGCTGCCCTGTGCCGACGGCGCAGTTCCTTCGTACTTCCACAAAAGAAGGACCATTCCCCACTCGTTGACTATAAACTCCAGCACCGGTACCCCAAGTTTTTAAGAGACGCTTTTGTTTTCACTGAGTGGTGGAGCGCCAACCTCTCTCGGTGAATAGCACGTGTCTGCACATGGAAGACCCTTTGTACGCGCCTGGTTTCGAGAAAGTTCAGTCCATATAGCAGATTAATAACTGTAACTGGATAAGGTCATTTTTAATGGGTTAGGCATTTCCTACTACCACTTCTCCTTTCTTCTCCTCTTGCCAACACTCGATAAATGGATATTATTTCCTAATTGACTAAATTTTAGCACCCATAGTATGGGAAACATAATTATTTGATAGGTGGATATTTTATCACATGTATTCATAGGGCTCTTAATGAATAACATATATTACTTAACTCCTTAGTGCAGCATGGGCAAATGCACTTGGCTTACACTGTAATTGATTTCGACAAAATTTAGGAATTCATCTGGGCTACAAGAGTTGTACAGCAAGCAAGGCCAAACCCCTGTTTTAAGGAGCTTTTTATGCACGTGGACAAGAGAATAAAAATACAGGGAACATGCAGGCAATAAAAGCGATGCTGCTTTCTGTGATTTCTGCAGGATGCAGACGGGAAGCCCGTAGCAGTGTCGAGCAATGAACCTCGCTGTTCCACACATCGTTTTGTCAAGCGCAGGACTGTCTTTCCTTTGCTCGAGCACGTAAGCTGCATCAAAGAAGCAAGCAGAAGATAAAGGAAAGCAGATGTGTGGCTAAGGGTGAAAATGGATTATTTAAACAGACGGGTGTAAGCGCTACGTGTCAGAAGGACAAAGCAAATACGTATACGCAAAATGGAGATTTATCAGCCGTGTAAGTTGCCACATTGTCGGAAGGAGCTCAGGCTTAGAGGAGGGCAGAAATGGCAGCTAGGACAGGCTGCTGCTATTGCTCATCATCCCCAGGGATACCATAGGAGGGAATTGGGAAGAAATTACTGAACTATAGAATTTAGTTTAATTTACATGCTGGCTATATAATTATAGTATTATATATTATCCTGGCCATAGTTAAGCCAGGATGATGACTAGCTGGTTTATGCTGTCCAGTTTTGAATGTCATACAAAATTATTTTTTTAATTAAATCAGGTAAGAGCAAAAAAATGAAAAAAAGACCAAAAAAAACCCTCTCGAAACCTGATCAGAGGGGGAAGACCAAAGAAATGGAGTTGTTTAATCTAGAAAAGACATAAATAACAGGGAATGTGCTATTGGTATGCCAATATGTGAAAGCTGTGGCTTTTCTAAGGAGGCTGGTGATCAATTAAGTCTCCATTTTGACTATAGCTTGTCTTAACTTACCACAAGGGAGAATAGGATTAGATACTTGGGAAAAGATCTTTCTAGCTGTAAGAATAGCTAAGCAGTAGAACAGACAAAATAAGGAAGTCTTGGGACAGCATTCCTTGGAGATTTTCAAAAATAAGGTTAGACAAACATCCATCAGAGATGATCTCAGTATACTTAATCCTGCGAAGGGAATAGCTAATCTCCTGGGGTCCTCCCCGGCTCTGCATTTTGATGATATCTAAGAGGAAGGCGACAGATGGAGGAGAAAACAGGATGAGAGCAGGTAGGATTAGTATGGACTTCAGGGGCGGTGCTGGGAGAAGCCCCAGGGCGCAGCCCGGGGCAGCCGGCACCAGGAGCAGTGACATAAACCCGCGGTCTCCGCAGCCCGCATCCAGCTCGCATCGCGTGGCTCTTAAGGGAATGGATGCATCTAGGTCATTTGCACTTATTTGTCTAAATATGATCTTTTTTTACCCTACAGCTTCTGCGATTTCCTTTTCTTTCC